CACTTTGTGGTTGTACATAAAATATTCTCGAAACTCTTTGCATACGTCAAATTTTATCCCGCATTATATTTTGTATTGAAAATCATCCAAGCTTCAAACATTGAGGCTTTATCAATAATTTCTTCGACAACATCTTTTAGTTTTTGTTGGTGTCTAAAGGTTACGAATTTTAGCCTTGGGTTATAAAAATTCAATCTCAGTACTGATCACTACCTTTGTTGTATATCAAAAGAGAGGATTATCCAAGAGGCTTCACATGCAGATACGTAATGACAATCAGAATACTTATTTGTTTCATAATACACCATAATATCAACAATGCCAAAGTTAGATTGTGTAACTGCAACAGTTACTTTATCTAGATCTATATTTACATATTTAAAGAGATATTTGATTGAATTAGATTTATTTCAATGTTCAATGTTGTTTGATCTTGAAACCTCATCAAGAGTTGTGGGTTGTATGTCACAACAATTCGATTATCCAACTCGATATTCTTTTTCATTATATTATGGTGACTTCTAAGGTTCTTCTTTTGTATATCAGGTAGTTATTCTCATCAAACGATGTGTTATCAAGAATTTTTTTGGGAAAATGTTTCATAAATTTATCATTCTCCATATATAGAGATCTAGGATCATTTATGCTACATGGATCATGCATCAATAATCGAGTTACGAACTCATAAAATCTAAGATATTTATCTTTATTATGAACCTCTACACATGTCACACGATCAATTGACTCAAGCGATTGAAGTTTATCCCTCTAGTGTAACCATATTAAGATAAATGCATGAAGCAAGCTTCTAATTTGAAATTCAACAGTGTACAAACATGTACAAAATCATTACATTCAAATGACAATATTTTAAATTGAATGTCCATTTAAATTATTTTTTATTATACAACATCAAATATTTAAACAACTTAATTTTTTATGTTATATACCATTTAAATTTCACACACACACAAAATCTAGGTTTACTAAATTATTACAAATATATAATTCTTCTCACCCCCTGAATTCAAAAAATATACGACAAAAACATTGGTGATTTTATTATTCTTCTCCCCTGCATTTATTCAACAAACTTAGATTTCCGATCTTGTAATTTTAATATAAAAAAATCATGATTCTTCTCCGCCAGATTAATTTACATTAACGGAAATATATGATTTTAATTTCTATGATGCATTAATGTGATTCTTTCTCTCCATGGCCCTTTGCACTAATTAAAAATTGAATCTTTTTCTTTGTATTATTAAAAGTGGGAAAACATAAATTTACAATCATATGATAAGAAATATAAATTTTACAATACATTAAAAATATAATGATTATTCTCCCTCTTATTATTTCAAAAATTATGTGAATGCAAAAAAAACATTAGTGATTCTATGATTTTAATGAAATTTTACAAAAACTATTTCACAATTTTTACTCATTTTTTTGCTTTCTTTTTTAAATATTCAATCATTTAAGTGTGTGAAAGTATTTTGGTCAATACATAATGTTTTATAAAATACAAAGAGTTACAATTTAAAAATTATATTTCTCTTTGATGTTGTAGTTTAACCTAAATCTTATTCACTTCTGCACATAAGATATTCTTCGTACTTCTCCTTAAAATACTGATTATTCTTGCATCTAAATTTTAATTGTCA